GGTTTAGGGTTTAGTCCTAAGGGTCTAAGTACCCCCAATAATAAGGCTTTAGGGTACCTAAACCCCCAATATTTGGGTACTTGGACCCTAAAGCCCACTTTTTGGAGCTCACAGGAGGCCACGAGAAACCGCATGAACAAATTCTATATACCCTTACCCTAAGGCTCTAAGGACCCATAATATAAGGTGTTTGGGCCCAAGGACCATACTAAAATAGGCTTTTGGGCTATTTTGAGCCTTAGGGTTATATAAGCACGTATAACCCAGCTGCGGCCTAGGGTCTGGCATGGTTTGAAGGTCGAGCAAGGGCATGACGTCGCAACCGATCTCCTGAGCAAGCATGCCCCCTTGCAAATACATAGTATTTCTCAAAATAGGGGAGCCCAATATAGACTCAAGTGTACTATAGCCCATATTATTAGGAGCCACACAATAGTACCCCTAATTTGAGGAACCCCCACATCAACCCTAAACCCTTTACATCCCTATATAGCCCCCCATATCCCCTTTCAAGGTACCCCTAGCTACTACGAAGTACTTGCTCTAGTAGCTGTCACCAACAGATGAAAGCACGCGCGAGTTTCGGCTCGTCCAATGGAGGGGTTTCCCAAAACTTAGGGGTACGTTTTGAGGGGGATGTAGGGGGTTATGTGGGGATATTTAGGGTGTAGGGTTTCCAAAAATTTAGGGCCCCTTTACAGGGGGATACAGGGGGTTATGTGGGGATGTTTAGGGTTTAGGGTTTCCCAACATCAGGGGTACCTTTCTGGGGTCCCAATAATAGGGATTATCATGTTTTGGGGTCTGGAGGGGTTCGCTTAGTTAGGGAAACTACCATGTTAGTTAATGAACAGCTTAGCCCCACCCACACACCACAACGGAGCTCAAGGCAATTGCCTGGTCGCATCCTCGCGACCTGCAGGACGTGCGTCTGGCAACAGTTGTGATGAGCCTTTGTGCCTCTCCAGTTAATGTGTCGGGATTCTTCGCGTTTCCACTTCATCCAAGTACCCAGTACTCAAGCCTATATGTTCTTCCTACACAATTCCTTTACGCATCTGATTTAGGCCTGGTACTTGCCCCATCAGGGCTTGGGTGTCTAGATGATTCGTGATATTGGTCTATGCGTAGATGGGTTCATGGAGATACAGCTGTCCATTTACAAAGTGAGGCGAAACTTTTTTTCGGGATACCTTTGTTTCCTTTTAGCGAATACCCCATACCTTTGTTTCTGAAGCCTTCCTACCCAAGAAGGCTCCTAGAACGGCACACCATCCATGAAGCACTTACCTTCATGCCCTCCACCCCGAGAGCCTAAGGTGCTTTGACCTACCTCTCCGCAATCAAAAAGCTGAAGTCTGTACATTGGAGCTTGCGGCTTCTTGGAGATTTCAAGGACCCCGGTGACGGACTCCAGAATTCTGCGGTCCTTGGTGTTAAAATCTGCGGCTCAGGGAAGTAAAGGAAGTAGATGGGAAGTGATATGGGATTATATGGGGCGCGTGTATCCATGACAGAGATTGGAAGAGATCCCTGTTTCCTTTTGTAGTTTTCTGGGATCTACGATTTGAGTGCTAAAGATGCGTCCTATGCATCCGCGCACATCTGCGGGCCTGAATTACATGGCCACCCACCCTAAACCTGTACCCTGAGACTGTAAAGCATACAGCTGCCCTCCTTCCCCTTGCACTAAAACTCCTGACCCCCCTAATAGTTCAGAACCTGAATACAGTAACACTGATTTTGGGCAATGGATTATGCAAATCAAGGTGTTGCCGTTTCCCTTCCCAGCAGCCTATGGTTCATGACTCCTCCATATTGCTATTATCATTGTTACTACTGTTATTTGCACTGCTATTATGATAGGCTTGCAGTTTATTGTCATTGCCATTATCGTTGTTGTTACAGGGTTGCTACACCCTTAACCCTAAAGAAGCTTGCTGAATGAAGGAGTTAACTTTGCTGGCATTCTCTGCACTTTTTGCGACGAGGCTGGGTGCATGTTCAGCACACTCTGCATTCCCAAAAGGTGCATGTGGGGGTTTCCCAAAACTAGGGGTACCTTTTTGGGGGTCCCCATAATAAAGACAACAATATATTAAGGTCCCCCTATTTTGGGAAACTGCCATGTAGGGATATAGTATATACTTAGGGGGTCACACGTTGGTATTTGCCCG